GTCATCTCCGGTGCCCTCGCTGGAGGAGGCGTTGCCACTAATGATAACATCTCTCAGTGGCAGGTCGATTTCCCAGCCAATCCTATCCAAGATGGTAATATCCCTCGAGAAGTCATATGGCCTACTGAGATTGGTGCAGTTTTGCAGAATCATTGCAGTCGAGCGACGGGCTCTCTCATCCATGGATGGAAACTTCTTCGTCACACCATCATAGTATCTCAAGAGCTCTTTGAATTGCAGGGGAAGTATTGGCTGATACAGCTGTTCCTGTTGTTGACGCGTGAGGTCAGAGAGGGTATCCGTCAAGCTCGAGAGCTGTCTCCTATGTAAGTCACAAGAAAGGAGCCACACTCTCCAAACCCCTTCGGTAAACTCAAAGAGTTGTTGGGCAAATATCGCGTCTTGGTGTTTGAGCATGTTCTTGCACAGCTTATTGTTGGACGTGGTAATGCTGCATCTTGCGAAGCTCAAGGACAGACTATCATCAACTGATCGACTCTGGCCAGGCTTGAGAAGAATAGCCGCCAGATGTGCGGCACAGTATTTCTTGGCGGTCTTCTGGTAGCGATACTGTAGGGTCTTCCGAAGAGCCCACGAGACTTTTGGTTCTGGGCAGTGTGGGAACTGGCATTCGACTGATTCTCCCATGAGCTTACAAAAAGCTAGTGTATCTGCCGTCATATATATACTAGTCGTCGATGGTGCTGGTGACGTGAGCGAATGTATTCAACACATGATACTTATATATCTAGATTATCTTACGAAACGTAGGGCTAGCATAGATAGTCTCGATTAATGCATCGATGACAGGAGCCAGCAATCGAACCATCTTCCTCTGATACCTGATTTCACTATGATTCTCTGAAAAACGCAGAAGACTGGCGTGAATATCCCGTAATCAGATAGACCTAGTCAGACTATCATTAATGATCCCGTCCGAGTTCCGTAAATACGGCATATGTTCGACGGACTGTGTTGAACGGTCTGTGGGGGACGTATACATAGATCCCGGTGACAAATTGATGATCAAAGAAGAGATTATATTCTGTAATGCCCTTCCGAAGGTCTTACAATCTGCGTGGATTTTCTGGATGTGTCCTCGTACGCGACCAAAGATGGTCACGTGTCGGAAAATCTACGTGACTGGGCGTATGCTCAGCCACTCTTATGCTATCGTACATCTGGTTCCAGTGGTTATTATTCCAACAGAATGTTGATATCCTCCAGCTATGGCCGGTTCTCGCCCATTCCTGTTCTTTATGTCACGCTTGGACTAGTTCGTTTCAGAACAGTACACTTAGCCCGATATGCAACAGCTTTCTTTAAGGGAATGTTGAAATCAAAGTAATTCTTGGATCTCGCCAGATAGAGAAGTTGGCAATGAGTACTTATGTTTGAAGTAAGTGTGTCTATTTACGATAAAACGTCGCTGTCTTATTGACTTTGAAATCCTAGCAGCTTAACGCTGCGCTGATGCCCTCGAATTCTAATCTAAGCCATTCAAATCTACCCAAAAGACATTGTAGTGTTAGACGAAGCATAAAATCCCAGGTTACGAGAAAGAACTTGATTTAAGAAGTGTGGTCTACTCTGGATCTTCTCGTAAGGTGCCCTAAGCTGGCAAACTATAGTGATTTACTCAGAACATTTCAACTGATCTTGCATACGCTTGATGCGCCGGAAATGTCAGCCAGATGTGTCAAAGAGAACTCAAGATAAATCAAGATCAGAGCATTGAGCTAAAGACTCCGGCCTCAGATGGATCCTGCTCGAGCCGGTTCGTCCTCTTCACGCGCGGTTCTCTCAGAATTGTTAGCAAATAGCGATAAAGCCGACGGCTGGTTTTTCCATCTTCCTCGTTCAAAGTCATTAAGAAACGCGCCGGAATGATTGAGAGAACCGACGGGATCAGTCTGCCCATTGATCCAACATCTTGGTGCTTCATGGGGTGGCACACCCGACCGATCAACCGATCCGGGCGATGAAGAGTACCAAGAATCCTGTGCACTCATACTGATACTCGGACTAGGGCCACTGTTTGTAGAGTATGAAAAGAAGCCACAATCTGTATTGAATTTCTGCCCTGGTTTGCCGTCAAGGTGATTTATCGGGAACCATTTGGCTGGATCTGCGGCTATGAAGTCATCCGAGTATGGCTTGGAGGCTGGAAAGTCGAGCAACCGTCCTTGACAAGGAGATGGATCGATTGGATGATCGAAGGAATAATCAACCTGACTGACCCAAATTGGATTGGCACCGGCACTCGAACTTTCGCAGAAGTCAAGGGGGAATTGCTGTAATCGAAACTCGTTGTCGGCGTGCAGTTGAGAAGAGCAACTGGGCTGCTTAATGGACCCTACGGAGGTACGCCTCTTCTGCGTCATGGTGGGGGGCTTCAGATTTGACTCTGGACAATTGGGATGAATGGACGTTGCGGTATTTTCTGCTTTACGCTTCAGCTTTTTGCCTACGTGGGAGGGTCAGTACATATAGGAAGTGGCTGAGCGCCGCAATGACTGGATTTGCCTTACGGTAGTTGCGTTGGGCAATACGGTTTTGAATCCTGCGACGCTCAGCAAGATCGGAAATCTTGGTCCAATCCTCGTCAGTATTGGCGAGTTTTCCGGGAGTGGCACGTGTTTGTGCGGTTTCGCCGACGTCTGTATCAGAAATTCGAAATGGCATGATGGCCTGTGATATGATCACGGCGTACGCTCGTATCTGGTGACCGGGGATGATAAGACAGTGAATAAAGAAAGATAACTAGCAGCAGGAAGCCGCCGAATGGAGGATCTTGAGAAAGTATAATATATCGTGGCTTGGAAAAGGAAGCTGTGCTACAAGACAATGGTGCGAAAGTAGGAAGAAGGAGGGCGGTTGATAGCTTCATATAGACTTCAAGATTCAGCAAGCAATTTTAGAGACGTGGCAGTGTCAGTAAAGAAATTCTTAGCAGCCTAGCCATGCAAGATTTACTGGAAGATCATCAGCGTATCCGTATTATGCTGCCCTGGTGGTCTGCCTCGCCGTACTGCCTTGCACTGCCTGAACCCACAGGCTGCAGATGGAGGGCACATTTACACTCAGCTGGTCGCCGTAGAAGTCCCACGACATGCCCTAATGCGAATGGAATCATGTTCAAAGCTGCCAATAGGAACGCGGACGCCGTCAATTGAGATAAGGGGTCCATGTAAGGCAGAGGCGAGGCCATGACAGGCCTTCTGACACAAGTCAGCACACCGTGCCCCTGCTAATGTTGCCTAGAAATGGATGGATATGAAATGGCATCCGCACTGGATTGGCTTGATCGTATCAGCAGAGAGAAGCGTGTTGAAGAATCAAGGCACAAGGCAAGTATAGCGAGGGCTTGGACACAGATAATTGGCGGTTCATGGAAGGTACCACCAGAGTCGGCAGAAGGGACGAGCCTTGCCTCAATTATTGGGGCATTACTCCCAACCTCAATCTAGCCTAGATAGTAAACTAATACACGAGTGACGTTGCTTTCGCCTCTCGAAAAAGTGGAATTATGTAGAAGAGTAGTAGTTGAAAAATGGGAATTGTGTCTAGGAGTGATCGTTCCTCGATGGATTCAGACAGGACAGCCCACTCGTGACACCTGAGCACATATCACAGATCGCTTACGACCCAGGGGTATGTAGTTCTAGCGAGTCACCGACTATATGCTGTTAAGTGCTTGATGCTTTTTATGACTCTGATATTTATTTGGGTAGTAGTCAACTTCATACTCCTAGAAGGTAGTAGTGACGACAAGAAAGTCAAGATAGAAGCAATAGGCCTTTCGCAAAAAATGTCTATGAGCAATGGACAAACTTCTAAGAGACTTTTGTACATTTTATACAGAATCTTAGTCTTTATAACAAACGAGTTGCATAGGAGGGGGTTCTCTCTAAACAAGACTATATTATCCGCCGCGGGGTGATTCCCCTATTAGTATCTGTAAAGGATTAGAGTAGACAAGCCTCTCCGGTGTTGCCTGCGGTTACCTTGCTTCTCTCGCAAGTCTCTTCTCGACACATCTGTGGAAGCACATCACATTAAGTTGTGTCTAGCTGCTCGAGGATCCTGCATGCTTCTTCTGCCGTGCAACGGAGCTCTGGATTCGGGACCAATAGAAGCTAGCAGATAGTCAGTGATGAGCACGCTGGCAGTACCATCTGACTTACCCTTGTGACCTCCAGCATTTGAATCACCCATACAGGTGCCCGAGGTGAGACTGTGGTCTCAGGCAGCTTCAAGCTTGAGTCGCAGAAGATCATGGCCAGGTTCTCGTTAACGAAGCCAGAAGATGGACAAAACTTTCTAAGACCACTTAGTACTGGCACGCATGGCAGTATTTCATAGTCCGTACCTGATAATCGCATCTAGCTGTTCAATGGCACTAGTGGCGGGCGATGAAGTCGACCTCACCGGCTTGAACTCCGGACCCTGTCCGATGCTCATTTCTCGAAGGATGCAGCCAGCAGACCAGTTATCAACAGCGCAGGTATACACCAAGCTACGAGTATCTCCGACGAACGCATTGACTCGGAGAAGCTCGGGAGCTCTATAGTACAATGAACAGAC